ATCATGGTCCGAACCATGAGTTTTTGTTTCGCCCACCATGTGTTTCTATTATCCTTACCTAAACAAACCTTGTCATCTTTTCCTCTTCTTCCTTTACCTCTCTCGCACCTCGGCCTCAGCTGCCCGATTAACAATGATATCACCCACCCGACAACCCCCTAATCACCCAATAACAACCACCTCCCGTCAGCCTTGTGGGCCCAACCGCCAATTCTACCTCAACGCTACCCACTCTTTACGATGCCGATAACCCGTCCTACCAGCCAACCCACTCCAATGCGCCATTGCCATTTGTCCGTCCTGCCTTAGGGCTGTCGCAGTAAGGCTGATAGCGTGCTTGCGTGCTCCCAGCAGAAAATGGCGAGTGTAGAAAGAAAAAAGAAAAACGCTGCGTTGTACAGGATATCCAGCCAGATACGTATGTTCCCAGTTTCTTTTTTTCATTTCCGCTCGGAGATTTTCATAATAAGGGGGGCTGCTCTGGTTTGCCTTCTTTCATTTGTAGTAAAGTTTCCTATCTATTTATGGAGATTCTCTCCCCCCTCCTCTTAGGGTTTAGGGTGTTGAAGAGGGGGTGGCTAGACTCTTCTCTCTATCTGTGATGGCGTTTCGTAACTTTGTCTTTTAATCTATCTTTTCTGCATGTGTCTTAATCCGATATAGTCGGTGGTATTATCATTGCTTGCTTTGCCGCATGCATATATCATCTTAACTTTATCCTTGTACATATCTCATCACCTTATTACTATACTGTACTACTGCTCAGGAATGTCAGAGCCCTTCCACCCCGCGAAATCACCGGCTCTCCCGGTCGTGGAATCCTCCACAAACCCCAAGTCCCCTCAATCCCAGCAGACGAAAGTGCGCCGATTAAGAGAGACCGTCGATAGCAACTATGCCGACATCATCTGTATCATTCTGTGCTTCGTCACGGGGCTTTGCGACAGCTCCGCGTTCAATGCGTGGTCATGCTTCTTAGCTATGCAAACCGGTTGGACATCTCCCCTTCCCCTTTATCCTACCACCTAAATCCCTTAACCCATTACCATAATGCTAATATTGAAATTATTAACAGGAAACACCGTCGTCCTCGGCCTCGGCGCCGCCTCCCTCCCCAAAGACGACAGCGACAGCTGGCTAAAATCCATCGTGTCAATCGCCAGCTTCGTGACCGGCTCATTCATATTCAGCTTCGTCGGACGACACCTCGGTCCCGCCCGTCGCGGCACGCTCTTCGCCTCCTTCATGGTCCAAGTGATTCTCATCGTGATTGCCGTCTCCCTGATCCAGTCTGGACTTATCGCGGAATCCGAAGCCGACGTCATCTCTGGCCACCACCATGGCGGCAAGCTCCTCGAGCTGATTCCCATTGGCTTGTTGGCCTTCCAGTCCTCCGGGTCTATAAATAGCACGCGCTCGTTGGGATTTAATGAAATCCCGAGTGTGGTCATCACGAGCGTGTATTTTGATATTGCGTCGGATAAGAATATCCTGGCTGTGCAGAATGTTAAGCGGAATAGGAGAATTGCGGGCGTGGTGGCTCTGTTGATTGGAGCTATTGTGGGCGGTTGGTTGAATAGGAGTGCTGGCGGGATGGCGTCGACTTTCTGGTTGGCGGCTGGGATTAAGTTCCTTATTGGGTTGGGGTGGTTAGTTTGGATGCCTGTTAGGAACTAGGTTGTTGGATGAGGATGGGTTGGGGGAGTGGGTGCGGTCACTTGGGGTATGGTGGTTAGTGAGGTATGTGGTGTGTGTGTGTATGTAGGGAGGGAGTGCGATTGTATAGTATTTTGTTTGGGGGGCGTTGTTGTATAGATGGATGGGTAGACTTAGGTTCGCGAAAAATAGAAGGTATAGATTTCTTTTTTCATGCTTATTTGCTGAGTAGGGTGGGTGTGAATGTAATCGCTAGTACTGTGATACTTCACAGATAGAAACCGCAGAGTTCAGTTGATGATCAATATAGTGATGAATATACCAGCACTTGCTATGTATGCATCATTCATGACTTCCATTATGATTAACACAACCGCTTCAGGACGCTCAGTACATTGCAAAGCATCAGGTGACTAGCGGACAGGGTTGAGTTGCCCTTCGATATGTACATGATACTGCCACTGCTGCTCTGCTCTGTCTTGCGTCTTGGCGATTAACATGTCATTCCTTGTTCCATGTTTCAGGATACGCTATCGTACAGTCTTCCTCCACCTCACAAAGCCCACATCCCTCAATTGGTATAATTCCATCTTCTCATCAAGTATTTAGTCGCGCATAGGGCGCAGAGGGCTCTGACGGGGGAGCATCATCGGGGGTCCGCGAGCGCGGAGCCAGGCGTCGTTGTGAGGGCCTTCGGTACGAATAACGCTGCCGATGGACATGAAGAGGCTGTCAAAATGTATGGTTAGTATCAAGCAATCGAACGTACGGAAGCGAAGAATAGACGTAGAACGTAAGGAATTGCGCAGAACATACCCAAAAGTAGCACCAGAACCAAGCATGTATTTACCCAGGGTACGCATAACACCGTTAGGTCCAGCTCCGTATTGGAAGATGGTGACAGTTCCTGCTTCATATTAGTCGGGTTCAAAGGAGGGGTTGCGTTTGCATAGACGAACCGATGATGAAACCCATGATACCTCCAACAGCTGTTGGAAAAGGATTAGTACCGTAGTAAACAGCATGCAAACTTGTTCAACCTACTGGATCCCATCATGGCACCCATCTTCACTGTAAATCAAGTCAGTAAATCAGTACAACAGATTGAGCGAAACTCTTCCAGCTGGTGAATGGCATGAGATCCGGTTAACTAACTCTTCTCAAAGGTAGAGGGACCATGCCCTTGAGGGGGACCAGCAACGACGGGCATGTTGAATGATAGTTAATAAATATACAGCGAGCGCAAAGAATTTGACAGCACAAGACCAGTTTCCCTCAGACGGTCGATTCCTCCGGCTTTCAGTCTTCTAGAGTCGGCAGCAAAGCTCCAACGGTGGGCGCATCGAAACCCGAGGCCCAGAAGCACGTGACACCGCCTGCCGTATTGGTAACCAAAGGTCCGTGCGGTGTTACCTAAGCACCACACGTGTGTTCACACGTGATTTTTGGCCTCAGGCGTAGGGAGACGAAGGAAGCCGTGAGCTGATCGGCTCTTCTCTCCCGCCGCAAGTTGGTGGCTCTCCCCATGAAGTCTGCTCCTGAAACTTCTGATCCAGTGCCTCGACTTACTTTTTCGGCGGCTTAGGAGCCTGTGCAAGGCGGTAGTTCCGTCTCGTGCCTCCGTCTTCGTCGCTGCCCGGTCGTTTGGTCCGTTCACTCCTCGGTTCGGGCCAAGACCACGCCTCCTTGGTCAGGACTGAAGCGCCTTCTTGCCTCACCATCAGATCCCTTTTTAGACTCAACTGTTCATACTCATCCTGCCGTGGTAAGTTTGGCTTGCTAGCTGTTGGGTCTCGCATGGCACTCGACGATGGCAGGCGCTGTTGCGTCGATGCGGAAACGGACTCGATGTTTATATGAGGGTCGTCCGGACAATTGCTAACGTGACCTCTCACTAGCCGAACGGACTGTATTCACGATATTTCCGCGCGCCTACCGTCGCTACAAACATTTTTGCCTTCGAGGTCCGTCGCGACGGGCACTCACGGGCGATTAGCATTAGCATCCGAACGCTTCTCCTTGCATACGTTGACGATCCTCTTTTTCCGTTGAGCGGACGAGCGCCTATGAGATAGAGCTCCTTTCCATCACACTCATCATACGCTATCCTTCTCCATGACTGCTGTGGCATCACCACCTAGTGTGCAATCGGGCCCTCACTTGGGATGGTTCGACTCTGGTAACGGAGGACAAGGTGCTCTGTCTTCAATGGACGCGGAAGAAGTCTCACGAACATTTTTGCCGCGAAGGACTGTTCAGAGATCGAATTCCTCCTCTTCCCTAGCATCTACTTCATCAACCTCAACCGCTATAGTCACGCCGCAACCCTCTAATGCGGGACACGTGAACAACGTCGAACACGCTACATGGTCAGCAAAGAAGAAATCCTCAAGAAATAACTGGACAGCTTCTAAGTCAGAGCCGGTGGCTGGGCTGAGCAGCGCCCGCTCCCAGGCTATGCCGGCCTTTTCTTCGGGCCCAGGAGCCTCTTCTACTATGACCGCGATTCACCAGCCGTCTTCCATTGTTCCATCTCAACACATGCTTCAAGCATCACAACAAAATGGCGTACGCGTCGCGAGCGCACCAGCAGGCGATCCTCCCGCCATTCTCACACTCTTACCCATCAACGGTACCTTCGACAAGAAGCAGATTAACGTACCCTTCTATCCGGACCTACTACGCATAGGCCGTCAGACAAACGCCAAGACTGTGCCAACCCCAGTGAACGGTTACTTCGATTCCAAGGTGCTGTCTCGACAGCACGCCGAGATCTGGGCAGACAAGAGCGGAAAGATCTGGATCAGGGATGTCAAGTCGTCAAACGGTACATTCGTGAATGGGCAGCGGTTGTCTCCGGAGAATCGCGAATCGGAACCCCATGAGCTTCGCGAGAACGATACCTTGGAGCTTGGAATTGATATCGTCAGCGAGGATCAGAAAACGGTTGTTCATCATAAGGTTTCCGCCAAGGTTGAACATGCCGGCGTATACAGCAGTATTCCGAATATCTTGGACCTCACACTAGGCGACTTGGATCCTGCTTCTGGAAATGGACTGCTCCCGTCACCCCTTAGTCAACCGATGTCACATCTCAGGGGACGATCGGGAAGCACCATGAGCAACCGCAGTGCTCAGAGTGCAGCCAGCAGTCAATTCAACGCAATACAACAACAACGTCAGATGAACTATTGGAATTCTCCGATATCTATAGAACAAGTTGTTAAGCGACTTACGGTATGTCATTAAGGTCACCTTCGCAGCGAGCTTGCTCTAACACGATTTCAGAGTGAAATGAAACAGGCTAAACAACAATCACAAGAGCTCCGGCAAACGGACGAGTTCTTGACTACTATAATGAAACCCGGATATGCAGAGAAGGAGAAACCGAAGCCTTCACCAGCGGATAATAATGCACCCCGTCCAGTTAATGGGCGGCCAAAGATGCCTCGCGTAGATTCCTTCTCTCGCTTTTCGGACCCGCCAGCTCCTCCACCGCAGCAACCCTTGCCCGAAAAGCCCGATGCTTTGCCGCGGAATGGCACAGACGCCCTATCACCGTTGAAGCGATCCGAGACAGAAAAGTCTAAGCTTGGCCCGAACTCGCCCGTTACACGTGAAAATAGCCAGATCTTGTCTCTCATTGAGGCTCTGTCCTCCGCCAAAAGGGAGCTCGATAGCCAGGGTGCTCGTGTTAAGGAGCTAGAAGCGTTGCTGATTCAGGAACGAAATGCTCGTGAATCTGCCGAGGAGAAGGCCCGTAGCTTGGAGATGAAATCCATTCAGCCTGCTCCCGGCCTCACCGCAGATGCTGAAGTCGAAGACAGCACTAAGAACTTGACTGAAATGGAAGAGCCGAAGACTACGCTGCCGGATGCCGGAGCTTCGATCGATTCTGATGCACCCGCTTCTGAAAAGGAGTCCATGGCAGAAAGTCAAACAGATGCTTTACAACGTCGTCTCGAGTCAATGATACTGGAGATGGAGGAGATGAAGAAGCAAGTCACAATGTTCAAAGACCGGGCAGAAGTCGCGGAGAATGAGACTGTTGAGGCGCGGAAGTCGCTGGCGGAGATGATTGAAACTCTGCGGCAAGAGCGCGCAGAGCGTGCTCAAGGCAAAGTAGTGTCTGGTGCGCAGACAGATGCTCCTGCTCCTGCTGGTTCTCCATCTGAGCCACAAGAGTCCGCCGAAGAGAAGGGCAGCGTGTGCGCTGAGCAACCACAGCTCACTGCGACGCCGTCAGCTACAAAAGCGGTGGACAACGCAAGCACGACGTTTGCGACACAGTCACACCGCCACGACGTCTTAGAGCAATCCAGTCCTTTTGCTTCTATGCTTGGAGTGGTGCTTCTCGGCGTTGGGCTGATGGCTTACCTGAACAGCTGGCAGAAGATGGACAAATGATCATTTTGGCTAGCACATCATGCCTTCTGCTGGCGCATGACATAAATTGTGCATTCGATAACACCTTGAAAAGCTCGTCTTGTTCTTCAAGTTACTAACCTTCGATCCTTCCTTCATACCTTTTCTTTCTGAATTCTCCGCTGGTTCTATTTCATAGTTTGTCCCATCTTGTATTCTGCTCCGATGCTCAGCAGGGATTGTGCGCTGGGTCTATGGGTCGATTTATCTTCTTTACCCGTTATTTCCGTTTATTCCCTCTTCTTGCCCCCCTCTTATGTGCAGTTATCCTTTTTGCATAACTTGCATGACCCTCCCTCACTTTTCTTGTTTGTTCCTAGATATCACTCCTCGTGGGCACCCTGTTGTTCCAGTAACGAATTCCTGGCAGCAGTGGGATTTCTTTCTATGTCGATGTCTCTTTCTCACGGGCAGAAGCAGGTCGTGTAAAAGGCTCACCCGCCTTTGTGTATTAGTCTATCATAGCATACTCCTTTTTCCAGCCGAGCGATGAATGACCATCTCATGCTTTTCTTGTTTTCTTTGACGACCTATACCCGGACGATTCTCATTAAATAAATGCGTATGCTTTCTATATAGTTTCATAGTTGGAATGTTTGAACTTCGTAGTAGTATCTTCGCGATGGCGACCTCACGTGATGCGCCCCATACATTGATCGCCGCTGCCATCCGACGGGTTTCTAGTAGCTACAACCAAGTACAGCTTGCTGTTGTTCCCGTCCAAGCATGCAGTCAAGACCGTCTAGTATAGCGAAACCTCGGCCCAAGCGTCGGCAGAGAATTTGTCGCGCTTGTGATGCCTGCTACAAGAGGAAGGTACAGATTACTACCTATTCACAATGCCTTACGTTGTTTGTCCACCTCGATACTAACCCAATCTAGATTCAGTGTGATGCAGCAACGCCACGCTGCAATTGGTGCCATCACCATGATCTTCCTTGTACTTTCAGACGCAACCAGGAACGTATCCAGGAACGCTCTAGATCCCATGACTCTCCAAGGTACTGTTTGTCAATGTAGTTCTGTTTATACACTGACTCGTCTAAGCTCCCAACGGATTAGTTCCACCGAAATACCGCTTGCTTCAAAAGGTAAACAAACATATCATGCCCCTTTAACCATCAGATTAGTTTGTTTGAAAATTTACGTTTGTTCGAGGGAGACACTGATCTTTCTGTGGATAGGTGTAGCTCTGAATCACCAATCGGGCCCGCCATTAAGACAGAGTGGACCGGACATGACCTTTACTCTTACTGTCGGGCCCCAGAACAATCTCCATGTCGGAGGACATGCTCTCGGGAATTTATGCACTTTCAATGGCCTGCCATTCTTCTCCGCTACTGGCCGCCAGTGGATTAAGGAACGCACCGGCGAAGATGTAAAGCTCGAGTATACGTCACCAAGGCCATCTATACTCGACCCGTTAACGCCCAATGGGGTCGCGCATGCAGTACCGCTTCCGGATAAGGGAATCCTGTGTCAGCTGCATGACGAGTGGGAGAATTCAATCCTTTCCAAAATGTTTCCGTTTGTAGACCGAGTGCTCCTTGAATCAACTGTCGCTGCCGCCTACCATAACGAAACGAGTGTCTCATCTCCTGGTGCTGACAGCGCTAGAGCCTGCATTCATGCGTTTACGGCAACCTGCGTACATTCCGCAGACCAGCAACATGGGCATAGAGTAGTGCATACAGAGGACCATCTTCAGACCGCCCACGACTTGGTCCCCCGGATGCTGCACGAGTCTGTTACCATAGATGGCCTGCAGGCCGTTCTGATGATAGTAAGTTTGACAACCTCGCACTGATTTACGGAATATGAAAGGGAACGTTAGGGTGAGAAGTGGGCAAGGCAGGCAGGTGCTAAAATCATGCAAATCAGAGTCTTTGCTCCTTGGTAGTCACGGGAAATATCCTGATACTCGAGATGTTACTCACATCTGCGATACGCTTCGTCTTCCATCTAGATGGTCACCTTGCCCCAGTCTACATCGACGACGACCAGTTCAGGAGGAGCCTGCATGTCCGAGAATTGTTTTGGATATGTTATATCATGGATAAGGAGTTTAGTCTACGCGCGGGTCATCCTCCGTGCCTGGATGAGAGTCAGTGCGACCTCACACTCCCTGATATCCACCACACTGCGCCAGAATTTCTCGCAGTCATACGTCTTGCCATGCTCCAATCTGAGGTGTATCATCGATTATACTCCTTGAAAGCTTTGCGCCAGACAGATGCCCAGTTATTGGGCGCTATTCGCGATCTCGACAGCGCCTTGGAAGTTTGGAGAGTGTCTATTCCCACCAACTTTCGGCCACGCCTCGTTGATCGGGAAACAAACGCCATGGACACTCCGAATACAATCTTTCAATTACACTACCTGTACTGCATGAGTATGATACATCAAGCAAGTGGAAGATGCTCTGCCTGGGTCCAGAATCACGATACATCTGAAGCAGGATCGAGTCTCGCTATCAGCGTTGAAGCCAGTCGATCGATGCTGCAGAAGTTCCTTGATGACCGTCTTGATTTCAATAAGTCCAACTTGAGGTAAGCATCGGTTGTGGAAAGCTCATTGTCTTTATCATTAACATGTTATACAGGTTTACTCTTCCCTATTTCCTGACAGCTATCTGTCATCTTTTTTCTAACATTCTTTTTAATCCAACGCACGGTGGCATCGATGACGACTTGGAACTGTTCATGTCAGTGCCAACTCATATCAGATCACGCGTACCGTTAGAAATCCCGAGATTATCGGCTTATCACATCAAGCTCTTCGAAAACTTCGTGATGGAATTAGGACGCCTTGCTAGTAGTGCTATTAACAAGGCGCGAGCAGGATCTCAACATATGAACTAAGAGTTGCTTCAGATGTGAACAGCCATTTGATTTTCGGTAACACTAGATCGCTAGAGGAGTTGCCGTGCCGTTGTACGTGAAGAATACCCATACTTCGATGAGATCGACGGCCGACCATGCTTGTGTCTTGCTGCTGAGCGCCCGCTGCATGTGGATGCTGGGTAGACGCTACGTGACCGGGAGAATCTTCCAAGGCAGCCGGCCTGCAGTCGTCGTGACACCGGGAAAGCGCACAATCGGCACAAGGTCTAGATCTATTGCGGCTGTTCGAGGGGCCGAAAGCGACTGAGGCCGGACTGGGCTTGCCGGCTGAGTTGCATCGGCATCTGCATGAATGCTTGGCCATGGCGCCCGCAAGAGGAGGGATTTATCCGCCTGGCTGGTATATTCAGCAGCGTGCCGCCTGGCTTCGTATCGTCCATTTCATTTCCTTTCCATACCATCTCACGGGGAACCTCACTTCAACGAAACCGCCACCTCCACCATATTCACCCACCTCGTCCTAGTCTCGGGCAGCTCTTCCTCGCCCTCCAACCGCGCAACGGCTCTCTTTCTCTTTCGCATCGCTGACTTGGATAAATCACCATTCCCATCCTTCAGCTTCGCTTCTTCAACCTCCTTTTTCAACCTCTCACTTTCCTCTACCGCCTTCTTCCTCTCTTCTTCATCCTCCACCACATCGTCGACCACAAGAACGCTCCCCGTCTTCACGCTCACAGTATACTCCTCTCCTCTCGCCTCAAACCACTTCCCCACCTTCAAGGCCCTCTCCATTGCCCGTCCCGTAGCCTTCACAAACACCTCCTCTTTCTTCAGCGCTTCGTTACTCTGCGCCAATTGTGTTATTTGATTCCTTCGGTCGCCCTTCTTTCCTTTGTTGTTTCCGCTGAGCAATTTTGCCGTGGCGCGGTTCTCCGCCGCCCGAAGGTACTTCTGGACGCGCTTGACGACGCCCATTGTGGGGGAGCTGGATGAAACGTAGATGGTTTTGGGAGATGAGGAGCCCGAATACGGGGAGGGAGTGGAGGGATGTGGGATGGGGCGCTTTTTGACTTTCACATCTGCATTGCGTAGCAGGTTAGTGGGATTGTCGCGAGAAAGAGGCGGAGGAAGGAAGCTTACGTTTGGGGAGTTTTGGCATCTTCTGGTTCTTTTTCTCGAATTCGAGAGTTTTGGTTAGTGGAGCAGGCGTCATCTTGGCGGTAGGAGGAGGTGTATTCGCGGTCGCTGGTAACAAGACACGTGTGGGTTGTTGTATACAGAGATGAGGGACCGAAGAGGAGCGAAGCAGCGATAAAGTAAAGTGATGGAATTGGGAAAATGAGGTGCCATTCCGAATGAGGTTAGCGCGGTCAAGTCGTGGTTCTTATCGGGCTTATCGCTGACATTCCCTCTTTTGGAAATTCCCATTGTATTCCAATCATCATCATCATTCATTCTCGTATGTCACATTAAGAGAGTAACATCATTGACAACATTCTACTAAACCAAATCCCAAACGCCATAGCTTTTGTACAGTCTTACCATATCCCCCTACTCCACCCCAACTACCAATTAGTACGCAGCCTGCAACTCAGCTTTCGGCTCCTCAGCAGAGGAAAACAGCGCCCGCATCTTCTTCTTACGGCTCTTCTTCCCCAGCTTCTTCCCATTAACATTGACATTCTCAGCCGGAGGAACATTCTCAGTCGCGGCAGTCTCCTCCGTCACAGACCGCTGCATCTCAGGGTACTCCGGAACGGGATCTTCGATCGGCGGCGGCGGCTGCTGCTGCTGCTGCTGCTGCTGCTCAGGAACAGCAGTAGGCTTCTCCGGCGTCGCTCCATCATGCATGTCGTTCCTGTACCAGTCCCTATCCTTATTCGCCCAATTGCGCCATGCGCCCCACCGCTCAGTGACAATGTCTTTCTCTAGCGTGTGCGACTTCGTGTCAGGCTCGGGGCTGGGCTCCTCGACAATCGTCTCTTCAGTCGGGGCGTAGCGCTCCTCCTGTTGTTGCGCTTCGGGGACGTATACGTCATCTGTTAGCTCGGGGAAAGCCTCCATGTGTTCTCTTGCTGTGGTGGTGAGGGGGTGCTCGTCTTGGATTGAGTCCGGGTATCCTGCATCCGAGGGGGCGCCGCCGCCCTCTGACGGTTGTCTGTCTGACATGGTTTCCTCGATGAAGATCACCGCTTTATTGTAGTTTCGTCCGGGGCTGGTGGGCGTGGGTTCCATATATCCACCATTACTGATCTCATGATCTTGCTTCTCTTCCCTGTGATTCTCGTCCGGGTCATCATAATGGTGGTGGTACCCATTTATCCTGGGATACTGCTTCAGCTCCGACAACTTCGCCTCGTAGATAGCTACCATGGCCTGCACCAAGCACGTCACGAATCCGGGCTCCGCGCCAAGGAGGTACTGGAATCGCGGGCTCTCGAAGAGATCTTCATCTTCATCGAACGCCGCGGCGAGTCGGCTCCGTATATACACGCTGAAGAACCACTGGTCCCAGTCCGGGACCTTGGTGATGGCTTTTCTGGCCACGCTGAGAACGTCGAAGATGGAAAGGTCTTTGTCGAGCTTTTGCATGTATTTCTTGGATAGAGTTAGTAGGCCGCTCAGCTCGTACTTGGATGCCGCGGCGTAAGCGAGCACGCTGCGTCGGTACTCGGTCTTGGTCCAGTCGCCGCTGTGGCGGAGGGTTTGGTACGTGCCCGTGTGGAGGTAGTGGACGATCGTGTGGGTGATGTCGTCGTCGATGTCTGGGAGGGCGATGCAGGGGGTTGTGCGCGTGATGAAGTTCGGGTAGGTGCTTAGGATGTCGGCGAAGACGGGGGATTGCTTGAGGTAGTATTCGGGGATGGAGAATTTGCGTTCGCTGGGGCCGAGGAGGACGATTACGAGGCGGGTTTCGTAGGGGCTGTGTAGATGATGTATTGTTAGTAGGTGGTTGTGATAGGTGGAGGAGGGTTGATACTCACGATAGCTCGGGCTGCTCATACTCCTCGAGATCATCGTCGAACTCGGGCTTCACGTTGGGAGTATATCTAGCAGACATGTTGCTGGTGTTGCCGCCGGCGACCATGTCTGTAGCCGTACTTGCAGTACTGGTGCTAGTAGATGTAGACTTATCCCAATTAATACTAACACTAACGCTCAAATCTTCTTCTTCTTCTTCTTCGTCGTCGTCGTCTTCTTCTTCAGCCGAGAAATAGTAATGAAAGATGACCTCCAGAATGTCGAAGTATGGGTTCAAGTCAAACGGTCAAGCATCAGCACGATAGTTGCTAACACGACCGGACCAAAGTAACGGAGAAGAAAATTCACTACAGATTCCAAAGATGCAACAGGGGGGAGGGGGAACACGCAGGATATACCTAACCCTACCCTCCTCTTCTTTACCTCCCCTCCAGCAATGCATTATTCACTCAGTGAGTGAGTAAGACATCAACTCATACCCTATGAGCTGTCCACCCCATGATGATTGCCCTTGGGCCAATGACATGACAACACATCAAGCTGAAGGTGCTTGAAACCCAATGCAGTCCATTCCAGGTGCCATGTTTCATCTGGTGGTTTGGGTGGAGAAGGTGGTATAAGCTTGATGTGTTGGCGGTTGTTGAGGGTGGGTTGTTATTGGGCAGATTTGGGCGTGAGTGATGCTAAAAGGGCACCGGGTAGGAACTTGTCATCCCCACTTGGTTACTGGCGGGAGAATACTAGGCATGTCATTGTTGCTGCTAACGGAGAATTTTTGTTTAGTTGGTGGGGTGGTTTGTGAGGGGAATTTTTCTCCACTTATTGCCATGACAGTCGTGCGTTGCTCTGGTGGGATTTGATTCTCTTGGTTTGGGTTGGAAGAAATGAAAGAGTAGTTTGCGGTGGTGGGGATTCTGCACACTAAATATCCCCGACGATAGTGATATTTCATAATCACTCTGCTTAACTGCGCAATCTAGAGCATAGATTTGGTAGGAGCTTCAACAGTCAAAATCTCAGCTCTGTATGAATTTGCACTGACAGATAAATCGAGAATCGAGTCTTATAAAATCACAGAAAGTTTCACTCAAGGAAGAGAAACTATAGAACATGATAGTCCTATCATTATTTCTCTCATATACATCTAAATATTTCACTGCTTAACCTTGATCCGATCAAAAGTAGAATTTGTCCAGCCCATACTCTCCCCCGAAGGCAGCGTGATTCCTGCTGGAAGGCAAATGCAGCTGAGGGGCATGCTATGCACCACAAGGCTGCTGTTGGGGTGTTGGGGTGTTACTTGTAGGTATAATAATACCGACAAAATATACTATAAGAAACTCACGAATAGCCGAATGAAGTCTCTCTTTCTTTCTTTCTTCAAAGAAAAATATTGAATTGGGGCCAGAATATGGAGAAATGCCGGGTGTCTTTCCAATGGCTATTGGTTACGAGCCAAATTTGTTTGGACCCCCAATAGCAAATTCATACTCCTCCCACTTTGCAATAAAGTCCTCTGTGACACTAGCATGGGATATTCTGTGGAATAAGTCGGGTTTCGTGGAATGTCGTTCAACGATAATGAGCACAATGGGATCTGCGAATATCAAGCAAGGCTCCGCACCCGGTACAATCCATACTCTTCTGCCGAATGTGATTGCATAATACCGACTGTGTCCTTTATTGGAAGAATCGAGGACCCATGCCCCATTCTGAGCAGATATGTGATTTGCAGATGAGCTTGAACCTTCCTCACTTCGAACGAGGGGGAATGCCTGGCTTTTGAGATGCAAATAGCCTTGACTATCGAGCGTAGCTGAGCGTGCCGGCAATACGATGTTCATCACATTTACCAGATCTTCGACATTTATCAAACCGGTTGCTGTTTTGTTAGTGCAGCCTCCACTTTCCGAAGTGTTTGGAATTGGAGGAAAGCTAGACATGAAGGGACATGGATCCAACTCGAGATATGCCCCAAGCCATGCAGCAGTACTACCTTTCTGCAGCGCAGCCGAGGCCAGGGCCAAGGTTGCTCCCACCCGGTCATCTCGGTGGAATTTGCTAGGATCTAGGCTCACACCGAACAGCCCCATGATACTAAATACCATGTCAACTGGCCGAGAAGAACTTCGTATCCATGTTGCCTTCCACAGAGCCACTTGTAGTTTGTCGCTGTTAACTTCACCAAAGTCATTTGGCTTTGATGTTTCTGAGGTAAGCCAAAGAAGGTATGCCTGATCGCTTGTAATGGTTTGCATTCGAAAGCGGATCTCAGTCCTGTCTTCCTCATGATCCGAGAATTCTAACTTACATGTCAGTAGGATATTTCAAAGAGAAGAAACAGTGTATCATTCAACATGCCTTCAAATTGAGACGAGCCGGGCTTTGATAGAGAGCCCTCACTGAATGATATGCAGTCGATCCCGCGTAATCGTGAAAGTTCTTCTTGCACTACATCGTACCCAGGGTCCCCGGGGCGACGCAATCTTGAGTACACCCATAACCCTTTGCGGACCGCCACAACTAAACCCTCCAATGATAACGCACCCGAATTGAATGGCTCTATTGTTCCGACAGGTTCGCAGTCACGGCCGCCGTACAAGTCTGGAAATTTCCATTGAAACACAACCAGCACAATTGGTGGAGCAATCGCTTCCTGTAGCGTCCAAGCTCGCTGAGCCCATGTTGATCGCTCCGTCGGATCGATTAGTCTTCCCAGGCCACCAGGAAGAACCAGGCACACGGCACAACTCCTGTAGATATCGAACATATGCCGGATTTGCCAATTTTTGTCTTCTTTATCCTGCTGCTTTATACACAAGCGGTCTATCCACAACAGATCACAAGGGCCTATTCTATGACGATATTGTCTCGCGGCCCGGCAGCATGTCCTCAAGACATTTACACTGATCGACCCGCCACTTTCGGCACCTTTGACTGAGAATTGGCCAAGTGAGGGGGGTACAAGAGGAGTCAGGCCCTGCCATGGGTAAGAAATCGTGGCAAAACGGTTCCCATCTGTCGGTAGAGCTGAGAAGGAAATGATTTCCAGGACTTGGTCGTTGAGTAACGAGTCAATGACTAGGAAGCGGAATCGTTTCGCAACCAACTTTGACAAATCCAGCGTAGCTCCATTCAGCTCCGACAGGGGCTTTCTGAACTCACAATATTGCGGCATTATGTGAGGCGCTTGTGATGGGAAACCGCACTCAATTGATTTTGTCATATTATCTCGTATAGAGTGGGGATCTCGAAGGTCCCTTTGTTCGGGTGAACAGGGTATGAGAATACCTCAATAGCCACATTGAAAGTGTTAGCCAAAATGCTTTTAGCATGAGCCTTCGTGGTTTATAGGTTAACCTTGTCTAACAACCTTAAGAATCTGTGGGAATTTGGGCCGCAACACTTTATGCAAGCCACGTCAGAATCCCATATAGGTGCATGGTAGTCATGTCCCCAAACCTCGCAGGGCAACCTATGTGAGTGGGCCCGATGTGCATGGTTCCTTAGGAGAAATGTACTTGAGTAGTTATTTCCTAGGCGGATGATAAAGCAAATCACCTTGGAAATTAGGAGAAAAGGAGATAAATTTTTTGGGTAAAAGCCAATCGTTATTACTTATCTTGAGCCTGGAATATAAAGTGGGTGGGTTTCCGAAAGGCAAGAGACATGGCCTGCATGTGTAGTAGATCAAGGTCATCCTTTCAACCCTCAGTAGAAGGTCGGTCACCTGTGGGGACACTCACGTGCTGCCATTGGCCAGTACCAGCATATGAGTCAAGTCCTGAAAAGTAGCAGAAATATAGTTGTCGACACCTGAATGTGGTATTTCACGATCTGCACGAAGACAGAGGGACATGTCTGCTTCGTATGGAAGCCTGTAATGGGTAGGATGGCTGCAGTGTCGATCACATGTCTCGTCTACCCATAAAGCCTACATCTGCCAGTATTCTCTGTGTATGATAGTTGATTGTATATGCTAAGTCTTAAATAACTTCATAAGCCACGTATTCATCGTAGCATGTCATAACAGTCGTCACATCATTATGTCTCGTAAACGCTCTCAAATCAGATCATAACTCCATCCCAAATATGTAACCCCGGTACACCATGCACCGATATACCATCAAAAAGCGGAATGCATTCGTAGATTATCTCTCGTCTGCGTATTCCGAAATATTCCTTTGCCTTTCAGACCTAACATCGTTGCGAGAACCCCGCGTCGTTTCGATCGTATAGTCGTCTCTGGACCATGTGCTTCCACGCGCACCAGTCCGTGATCTGAGGGTTTGTCTGTTGTGGCAGTACGCCGGCTTCGCACCATAGTCTTGACAGCGTTGGTGATCTGCGTTCGGATGGGCGGAAACTCTGACTCTTCGCTTGTAGGCGCCAGATCTGGATCATCTTCGTAGGTCTCTTTCATGACTCGGGCATTGTCTTCTTGGGCTGCTTTAACGCAGCGGATCAGGATGTTGTGATGGCCTAGGCAGCGACGAAGATCGGGGGTTTGAGATGCAGCTTCACGTTGCAGCTTGCCGTGGGAAATGGCTGCCAGCTTTCCAGGCATGGCCGGTCGGTTTGTGAGTTGAGAGATGCCCGCACTGAGGCGGGGTGCCCGACGGACTACCGTCGTGGGCAGGTGGAGGAACTCTGCAACTGCAGACATGGTGTTGAGGGGCTGTGGAGACGGATGGTCTTTGAATTGAACAAAATTGTATCAGATGAGTGCATTTGACTGGTGATCTGGATTGCAGCGTGGGCGACATGATGCATCATATACTGAATACCCTGCACTTGTTGAGACATAGAAAATCGCAGCAAAATACCCAAATAGGAAGGAGTAGGCCAAAGCCGTCGTATGCTGGAATTAAGATTCGTCAACCCGTGGGGAGAGAAGAAGCTCGACCATGGATGAAACACGTAATCCTGGCCTGTCTGTCGCTGGACTCCAATTCACAACGTCAGTCATAACCTAAACATTGCAGTCTCAGTAGGGCCTGGAATGCCACGCGGCGTCGCTCCCTCTTTTCTCCCTACTGAGACGGGTCTTGCTCGGGGTGGCTCTCAGCCAGGGTGGCCACTTAGTCACTCTGGAATTCTCGAGTTCATGGATCGACATTACCATTCCCTCGGTAGGATCAAGCCCGTCATCCCCCTTCCCAGGCTTTCCATTTGCGCGTTGACTCGCCGTCACAGCCTAAGTACCTTTTCTCGAGTCAGATAAGTTCCTGTGCCCTGGTTTGTTCCCCGGTCACGTCTAGGTCCCCCAAAGCATTCAAACCCCGCGACAGGTTCCAGCGGCAGCACATTCCGCCTCTCATATCGTCCGTTGGAATCTTAGGTAATGCGTGATGAAGCCGTTGTGCGTTGAAACACTAGTCTTCTCCACCATGATTCATGGAGATACCGTCATTGATCGTGAAATCAATAGCATCATGACTGGAGGAGCTCATGATGAAGGATAAATCCATCCCTTTGCCACTGATTCGCTTGTAATGTAATATTTCGATGCTGGATGGTATGCTAAGTAAGTGTTCTTTTGCTCTCATGGCCTGTTTCTCTGGTCCCGAAAGTCTCTGATTCAGAGTGCACTAGCCAGATCAGCTTCACTAATGGGTCTACTATGAAGAGAAAGTAGCTTATCGACAGAGACTGACTGCCCCGCCATGAGCGGGGGGCAATGGCGTCACAGCCCACAATGATCAGTGCCCAGTTGAGACTGGGCCTGCAGGGGCGAGAAAGGGAAGAGACTGACTGCGTCGCAAAAACCCCCCTCCGGCCACGTGCTTCGAGGCCTTCGGGGAGTAAACAATCCACCGACGTTGTATCATCCACTGCAGTCACCCAAGGATTCGTCACAAACAAATCCACAGTTATAACCTTGTCTGCCTTGGGGTCCATCGCTTATTGGCTCGTAGACTAGTGTCCAGGAGGTGTTGTTGACGTCGCCACTCTTCTGAAGTCTCGCCCTCGTTACATTCCCAACGTCTGTCGGTTTTTGCCGGCCCCTATTTTGCTGGGGAAGGTGTGAATAAACCCCGCTGCTGTTAATGACACCATTGTTCTATTGTTAGAGGATTTAAGCTCAGTAGCAGCATGCCGATCTTGTGAACAGTTTCGATAATGCACAGACAGAGGATAAATCACTTGTTTTACATCCTGATCATGGGCAATGAGCTATGGTAATTGGGACAAAGGACATGATGATCAACAAGAACGTCTCAAGAATTCTTTCTGACCTGCTCATTTTCTCTCATTGCTTTATGTACGTCATTCGATATTCACGGATTTTGATCTCCTTGTCGGCGATACCTCTAGGCATACTCCAAGTTTCAGACCTCCACATGTGGATGACTTGTGCAACTGGTTTCACTAACAGATTCGAGCTCCAAAATAGCCCGCATGATATTATAGGTCCAGATTGATCATCTGTGTGATCGAGCCTCCACATTTCAATGGAACAAGCGAATCAAAAGCTCCTACAAATTACTCTTGCAGCACACAGACCCCACCGGCTCTGACGCCCTATACTCGACACTCTGATTCGCCTGCTGGTTAGATGGAGGTACGTCATTCGTCGGATTGAACAGACAGAAATTGTAAGGCTTCAGATGCACCTGAACAATCTCTGCCGGCATAACTGGGAAGTCCTCCACACGGGGATTGTGTGTAAGACCGTAAGTATGCCAGATGACAATATCCTGGTTGCGGACATTCTCCCGGGACTCAACCCATGACTTGATCCCTGTGCCACCCAGCGACTGGTTTGTGTATTTTCCGGCCGGGAAGAGCTGGTCGTCGTGATATCGGGTGACCCAGATTGAGTGCTCGGCGAATTCAGACCGCCGCCAATGCCAGGAGCCAGATTTGGCTAGAAGCATCTGTATTCGGTAAATGGGATTAGTATTACTACTTTATGCTGTGTCTGATAGCTTCTGCTTCGTGCTCTTGATCTCTGGTTCCTCCAATCTGCTGCTGCTGATTCTGGGACGTCGGATAGGGAGGACCTTACCTGGGACCTATGAGGAACGAGTTTATATCCCAGCGGAGTACCCGAGACCGGGTTCTCGATGTTTTCATTCAGGATTTGGAAGACTCGGCCTTTGCTGATATCGTCTTCGACATGACCTGCTCGGTCCAGAATCTTCTGCTCTGTCACATAGCCTGTACCAAGGGGATTGAGTTGATCGTCCCATGGCATGGCCACAGAATCTGTGGAAGCAAAGCTATTGTGCACACCGCCAATCGCAGGATCAATACGAAGGCTAAATAAGTGCTGGTGGTACGGGGCCATGACACCATCTGCTACCCGGGTTCCCCACGGGACCACGACGTCTTTGCCAATAGGCTGAGTGGAGAGGATCCCAGTTGCTCTGGTCTCGAAGGTGATTTCACCAGACTGGTCAAAGTACCACATGAAGATGTATTCGTAATTGGCCACTGTAATGATAGTCTGGAGGACCAATTGTCGCTTGCGTACTACTGTTGCTTTGCCGGTACGGTGGTTGGTGTGCTTCCATTGGATCCCGTTGTCGATTTCGTGGATACAGATTGCATTTGGTCGGGGAGATGCATCGCCGTCCACTGAAACGACCTGACCATCTATATACTTGATCATACCGAGACAGTCGCAGCCAACTTAATGAATAAGCTTGGATACTGAAAATGAAGGAGCCAGGAACTTACGCTGCAGGTTGTTGGCCGTCACACCTGCACCCACATTTCCCAGGTCAAACGCAGCCTTACGGTAGATGGGATTGCGTGGATCACCATACGGAACAAACATCTCAGCGAGTGAAAGACGGTAGAAATTGCTTTTACCGTCGAAAGAGAGGTCATGCAGCGTTAATCCTGTCTATAGTCAGATAAGGTCTATCCAATTGGGATGCGATAATACCTTCGCGCCAGTTGAAACCAACTCGGAATCGCCATTTCTCCCACTCGACAAGGTGACCCTTGACAGTAAAGGAGGCACCCTCTGGCTGGACCACCTGGTATGGCTTCAATGTCATTCGCGGAGGGGTCTTCTGCAGACGGTGGTCATATTCAGGCTCCTCTGGAGCCGTACGGCGATGAGGCACGCTGGAACCTTGCGTCACGCTCTCATCGGCCCCAAGAGGAAGTCGGATGATCTTTTTCACCTTCATGACACACAAGTCAACAGTAACCATAAAATCCAGCGGAAAGCTGTAGTGATTGGAGTCGGGATCGTTGTTTGCCGGGTTTCTCATGTACATGAACACCTGAGCGTGCCTTGTCTGTGTATCCTCGCCATCCACGCCATAGTCCCATGGGTCGAGGACGACAGTAGTGTCATCAATCTGCAGGCGCTTAATCTCCGCCCGTACTGCAGGATCAGCCATGACAGCCTGGGCCACTTCGTTCATCTCCGCTCGGTCGCCCGGACCATGGAAGTCTCGGGGAAGCTCAGCGTGGTGGACGAAGGTGCCATTGGTCACATCTACCACTGCTTCGAAGAGCCGAGGCGTCCTTTTAATGTACCAGTTTAGAAATATACATCTGGGGAGAAAAGGTAAGGGTTTGTTGTTGTGTTCAGCGTCCAGGAATTCGAGCAGAGCCGCCTTGGGTGGTTCTTGCAGACCACCGGCCTTGAAGTGCAGGGGAATCCCAGGATAAGCGTCTTTGACCAAGGTGGTGGCTTTCTCAATCTCGACCGCGGTAGCGGGGTCAAGAGGGTGAAGTGACATTGTTTACCGGCAATTTGAGACTTGAATTGGGAGGATGAGATGATGGGGTTTGGGTCGCTGTCGGTGGTCAGTGTATTCTGGGCCAGGGTTGGTGATCCGCCTTATGTAGGGAACTCCCTTTGGGCCCAGTCAACACGCTGCGCGACAGGGTCTTATCGAGAGATTGGGTGTTAATACAATCCTACTCGTTCAACCGTCTGGATTTGGGTAAGCGGAGCATGTGTGAGAGTTGCAACGGCGGGCCGAGTCGATGGACTGTCCATGAAGAGCTGCATGTCACCCCCGCACTGATTGAAGGCGGATTGGATGAAGCTTCCGGCCAGATTCCGTCCATCTGGGATTCGCTCATTCCTCCGTTTATTTATCTCGCCGTGGGAGGCTAGAATTGTCTGTTATCAATTGTTTATTCGTTTCCTGTCATGACTACCACTGATAAGTGTTAGTTAGATACAATCCGGGGATGCAAGACAAGAAGTCGTACTGTTACCAGCGCCATCGAGCATGTGGCAACTAACGAACGCGCAATAGGGAAATCAACATGATATCTCATTTTCCTCAAAATATATAGTAGTAGAGAGTACTAGAAGTACCGATCAGTCTTATTATGCCCACGACTGAGATTGAACATAACCTGGCACTCCAACTAGTCCATATAATCCGTTTGAATCGACGTATCCATAATGTAGTAGTTGATGTCATAATATGTATTTGAACACAGACAATCGAGAATATAGACGCACCCTCAATGATGGATTACTTGCCTGTCCGGCTAACACATACCTGAGTGGTGCCACGCAGCAAGGGGAACTATGCATTGCACAGAGTTTTAAGACTCTTTTCATATTCGAGAACAATAACCCTACTACTCTACTACCATATGCTGAGTTCCATCCATCTGCATTACAGTGATATAATACATGACTCACATAAGTCTCAACGAGTAGTAGTAAATCTAACA